CTAAGGCTCTACCCCTCACTATGTAACAGACTTGTCAAGACAAAAAAAAAATGGCCCAAACAAAAGAACTGATCAAAGCTCCAGAAAAAAATACAACTAAGCAATGAAGAGATAGCCAACCTATCAGATGCACAGTTCAAAACAATGGTGATCAGGATGCTCACAGATGGTTGAATTTGGTCACAAATTAGATGAACAAATGAAGGCTACACTAAGTGAAATAAAGGAAAATGCACAGGGAACCAAGAGTGACGGGAAGGAAACTGGGACTCAAATCAACAGTGTAGACCAGAAGGAAGAAATACACATTCAAACAAAACAGAATGAAGAAACAAGAATTCAAAAAAATTAGGAGAGGCTTAGGAACCTCCAGGACAACTTTAAATGTTCCAATGTCTGAATTATAGGGGTACCAGAAGAAGAAGAGGAGGAGCAACAAGTGGAAAAGTTATTTGAACAAATAATAAAGGAGAACGTACCCAGTCTGACAAAGGAAATAGATTTCCAGGAAGTCCAGAAAGTTCAGAGAGTCCCAAAGAAGTTGGATACCAAGGCACATCATAATTACCCAAGATAAAAATTAAAGAGAGAATACTAGAAGCAGCAAGAGAAAAGACTGTCAGCTGATTTCTCAGAAGAGACCTTACAGGCAAGAAGGGACTGGAAAGGACTATTCCAGGTCATGAAAGGCAAGGACCTACATGAAAGGCAAGGAGCAATCTTCCAAGGTTGCTCTATCCAGCAAAGCTTTCATTTAGAATGGAAGGGCAAATAAAGTGCTTCCTAGATGAGGTCAAGTTAAAGGAGTTCATCATCATCAAGCCTTTATTATATGAAATGTTAAAGAGATTTATCTAAGAAAAAGAAGATAAAAAATATGAACAGTAAAATGACAGCAAACTCACAATTATTGACAACCATGCCTAAAACAAAAACAAAAGCAAACAACTAGAACAGGAACAGAACCACGGAAATGGAGATCACATGGACGGTTAGCAACAGGGGAGTGGGAGGGGGAGAGACGCAAAAAAAGTACAGAGAACAGTAGCATAGATGGTAGGTAGAAAATAGACAGCGGGAGGGTAAGAATAGTATAGGAAATGGAGAAGCCGAAGAACTTACAAGTATGACACATGGACATGTACTAAAGAGGGGGAATGCAAGTGGGAGGGAATGAGCAGGGCAGAGGTGAGTGAAGGGGGGAAAATTGGACAAATGTAATAGCATAAATCAATAAAATATATTTTTAAAAAGAAACCATAAAAATTCTAGAAAACAATAGGCAGTAAAATCATGGACATTTCTCATTGCAATATTTTTTCTGATCTATCTCCTCAGGCAAGGAAAACAAACAAATAAAAACAATGGAATCATCAACAAAATAAAAAAATGACAGAACTGACAGATTAGAAAGAAATCTAATCTGCCGTTAATTGTCTGTTTGGCAGCCTTATCTTGGCAGCCCCTTCCCTTCCATCTGCCACATCTGGCATCTGCCAGAACTGAGAACATATTCACCAATGATACATCTGATAAGGGCTTAATATCCACAATTTATAAAGAACTTACAAAACTCAAAACCAAAAAACCAAACAATGCAATTTAAAAAATGGGCAAATAGGCATCTGAATAGATGCTTCTTCAAAGAGGACATACAGATGGCCAATAGCCATATGAAAAGATTATCAACACTACTAGCCATCAGAGAAATACAACTTAAAACACAATAGATACCACTTCACATGAATGAGAATGGCTGCCATCAAAAAACAAGTGGTGGCCAGGATATACAGAAAAGAAAACCCTTGTGCACCATTGGTGGGAATGCAGAATGGCGCAGCCACTGTAGAGAGTAGTACTGAGTTACTTCAAAAAATTAACAATGAAACTGCCTTATGACCCAGCAATTCCACTTCTGAGAATACACTAGAGAAACACAAAACACTAATTCCAAAAAATACATTCATTCCCGTGTTCATTGCAGCATTATTTATAATCATCAAGACATGGAAGCAGCCCAAGTGTCCATCAGTAGATGAGTGGATCAAAAAACTGTGGTACATTTACAAAATGAAATATAAAAAAGTAGGCAATCTTACCCTTTGCAACTGCATGGATGGATCTAGAAAACATTATGCTAAGTGAAATAAGCCAGTCAGAGAAAGACAAATACCACATGATCTCACTCACATGTTGAACCTAATGAACAAAATAAATGAACAAACAACATAGAAATAGGCTCACAGATAGAGAACAGACTGACAGCTGTCAGAGGGGAGGAGGGTTGTGGGACTGGATGAAAATGGGGAGGGGGGGAGGGGAGGGGAGGGGAGGGGAGGGGAGGGGAGGGGAGGGGAGGGGAGGGAGGGGAGGGGAGGGAGGGGAGGGAGGGGAGGGAGGGGAGGGGAGGGGAGGGGAGGGGAGGGGAGGGGAGGGGAGGGAGGGGAGGCTCATGGACACAGACAACAGTGTGGTATTACCAGAGGGAAAGAGGGGTGGGAAGAGGTAGAAGAGAGTAAAGGGCGGATAAATGGTGATGAAGGGAGACTTGACTTGGGGCAGCAAACACACAATACAATATACAGATGATGTGTTACAGAGCTGTAAGCCTGAAACCTACATAATTTTACTATCCAATGTCACTCCAAAAAATTCAACTAAAAGAGGAAAAAAAAAAGAATTCCCAATAGGGAGCAGACAGAGACAAAGGGAGAAAGATAAAGGGCAACAGAAGAGGCGTGGAACTGGAAGAAGGGGTGGGCCAAAGACAGGGAGACAGACAGGGGAAGGAGAGTAAGGGACAGCAGATGCCAGATGTGGCAGATGGAAGGGAAGGGGCTGCCAAGACAAGGCCCAGTACAAACAATTAACAGCAATAAAATGAGGAGACAGCAGAAGTGGGGTCAAGACTGTGACTGAAATGGGGCCCAGATTAGGATGAATGCCTAGTCACCTCCACATCTGTCACAATGCCCCACAGACAACTCAGAGCAGAGACAGGAAACAGCCCTTCATGAATTTGACCTCTGGATAGGAAACAATATGAGAATTTTTGTTTACATATTCACATGCACCCACCCGTGTAAAACACAGGGAGAATTGTTGCAAAAAAAAAGCATACATGGTGGAAAACTGTACTTGAAAAATAACTAAATAAAAAAAGAAAAAGCATACATGGTGATCCCTGTCCTCAGAAACCTGTGGCCCATGAGCTGAAGTAGAGTGAGCTACACCTCAGGAAAAGTACAAATATTCTACTGCAGTTCTGATGCAGAGACTTCCACTTAAGGGAGACAGGAAAGACTCAAAGGAGTGGATGGTATTATACTGGGACCTTGAAAAATGGGTACAACTTTGGCATTCAGAAGATAATGGGAAGATCTTAACGTTTTCATCACCCTCCAGTCATGGTTAAACACCCAAAGACTGCCAAAGGGACTGCTAAACCAGAAGAAAGTCCTGGAGACCAAGGCAGCCCCACAGATGCCCTCAGAGTGGACGGTCACCTGAGAGAGTTCTAGTCTCTCTGCCCCAGTTTGTACCATAACAACCGTAGCTCGAAGCATCAACCAGTACCTCTCACACCACTATGGATCGATCCCACCTGCCACACACCCATATGTAACTAAAAAAAAACTGGCCTCAGGATATGTGACATATACAGAAGACAATGGCAAATGACCAATTCTAATTTCTACTTTACATCACACTTTCGGTCATGCTACATTTATACAAGTGCACCACGTTGTACCACACCAACATCACAAGATACCAGTTCATGTAGAACATGTTTCCAAACCCATTTATTTGCCTTGTACTCCCATGAAACATGACTTATTTTTTAATTGATATATAAATACATTTTAAAAATATATTCATATTTTGTTATCAAATAACCAATGAACCAACATTAAATTTCTGGATTTATTCCTTCTCAAGAAACCTCTGCTCTCATTTTTTAGTTAGTCCCCCTCTGCTCTCACTGAAGTACCTAGCTTGGACCCTCGAGGCAGCTGACCTGACACAGACCTGAATGTGAACAACTCTCCCAGAAAGCTGTCTGTGAGAGGTCTGTGGTCCCCTGGCCCTTTGTCAGGAGAGTATCCCACCACTCAGCACTCAAACCTCAGACTTACCTACAGGGAGACCTGGATGTAAGTCCACATTTCCCTCACCCCGGCTTGACTGAGAGAGTCCCCATTGTTTTCAGGCAGAGGCCTCACAGGACAGCAAAGGAAAGAGGAGTCCACAGCATGTGCCCAGAGGTGGGGTCTTCACAAACAAGGAGCAGCAGAGCAGAAATGTGCTCCCCAGAACACCATAAAGGAAACCTAACGCTGGTGCCCAGGTATGCTCGGCACGTACAGGCTTACCTCAAAAGCTCCAGTTTAGTTTCTACTGAAAATGAGGCTCAGAGAAAGTCATATCTTACAAGTTGATCAGTGATACTGTTTACTTGAGCCTTCAAAGAATGGTTTGTCTTCATACATCATTTAAAACCCCTAGCACACAAGTGTGTTTGACATTAGACCTAAATGAATGTTTGGAATGGGTTTCTGAAACCCATTGTAAACAGCAGCTCTTAAGTCAGTTCCGCTTCTACCTGAGCCTTTGAGAAATCATAAACCCTTGACTAATTCTAACAGCCTAAACTTCCAATCATTGTATCTGTTCAAATTACAAAGGAGGAGTAGAGAAGACACGAAATCCCCTCATGTCTGAAGTTCTGATTATAAGCCTGCACCTAAGCTACATAGGGACAGATGTCCTGTAGAAAAACTGCTAAGCTTAAAATAATGACAAGTGCATGTGCCCACTGGGAAATCCCTTTTGAAAGGAATTAGTTCAGTAATGCAGGCATCCAGGTCAGCAGTTGTAGGTAAAAATCTCCTGACACACGCCCACCTCTTCCATGGCCAGGTCATGGCTCAGAGACCAACCCAGGGGGCAGCCCAGGTCTTCTTCAGTGTGTGGGGTGGGATGGAGGGGGTCCAGCTCACCCTTCGACCCGCCTCATTGTTCTGCAGGTTCATGAGCACCCGGCCCTGCTCCTCCGATCCCTTGGCAAAGTTCTTCTCCCGCTCCCGAGCATCCACAAATTCCTTAGCAAACCGGTAGCCGTACTCCACGTTGTCCCCACAGCCGCCCCACAGCCAGTCACGGGGAAGGTCCTTGGGCCGAGCTGTCCTGCTGCAGCCACATGTGGAGAGCTCACCCTCTCGGCACGCCCGGCTGATGGCGTTCACCACCCCCGCGGCACTCACAGCATAGGTGAAGGCTGTCTCCCGGCTCCCTGCAAAACAAGGTAAGACTGGTAGTGAACATTTGCTCTCAAGTGGAGGCTTTCTTTCCCTCTGCTTCCTCCAGACCAATGCTGCTGTAACCTCAGCCATAACACTCCCAGGACGGGAGCAAATGTCAGGAGGAGCGCCTTTTACTTCCCATGGCTCCAATGGTTTGAAACTTTCTTGATAATGAGCTGAAATTTGCCTCTTCTGCCCTGTGGACATACCAAATACAGGGATTCCCTCCAGCCCTGGCTTACACTAACATCCACTACAGAGACATTTACATGACCAGTACATTTCTAGGAGGCAGACCTAAAGGCAGGGGAGAGTGGACAATGAGGAATCTAGGAAACACATGGGACCAACAAAATGAGACTGAATAGAAATGTGGGACAAATAACAGGACTCTATCCTCTCAACAATCTCCCCCTCACAGATGCCAATTTTCCACCACTCTATGAACTACACATCCGTCTTTTTTATTGCTGCCATTATCTAGCTAGATAGTGGCAGAGACCAGGAGTAGGAACTGAACTACAATTACAACATTCAGAATCAACCAAGCTATCTCCCTGTCTTTCAGAGTCCACACTGCCTCCTCACACCACAGCACTGGGAACCACATCTATGGGACACTCAGCAGGGTCTCCCCAAATATCTAGATCATTTCTAGTAGAAAAGCCAAGCTGTGTTCCTCTATTGCTGTAATGAACCACTTAAAAGCTCACATAGTGTATGCTCTACTTCAATAAAAATGTTTATAAAAAATAATACTCAGGCACCAGGGAAATGCAGATCAAAATCACAATAAGATACCACTTCACATGCATAAGTATGCCTATCATCAAAAAGAAAACTATAACAAGTTGAGGAGGATATAGAAAAACCAGAACCTTCATGTACTGCTGGTAGGAATGTTCAATGGTGCAGCTGCACTGGGAACAGTCTGGCAGCTTCTCAAAAGGATGAGCACAGAACTGCCATATAATCCTGCAAATCCACTCTTAAAAATATATCTAAGATAAATAAAAACATTTGTCCACACAAAAACTTCCACACGAATGTTCATTGTAGCATTATTCATCATAGCCAACAAGTAGAAACAACCCACATTGTCCATCAGCAGGTGACTAGGTAAACAAAAGGTGGCATTATCCATGCAATGGGATATTATTCAGCCATAAAAAGTAATAAAGTACAGGTACATGCTACAACATGGACGAACATTGAAATTATTATGCTAAGTGATTCAACTTGGCATTTTGTATGTATAGTGAACCTGATATTGAATGAATGGCCACACATTGAATGATCCCATTTACATGAAATATTCATAATATGAAAATGCATAAAGACAGATCAGTGGTTACCTAGGGCTTGTGGAAGAGGGGGAAGGAATGGAGAATGACCACTAATGGGTATGCAGTTTCTTCAGGGGGGTTTGGGATTAGATAGTAGTGCTGGTTGCACAATCTTGTGAGTATACACTGAACTGTATACTATGGTAGTGAATTGTACAGTACATGAATTATATTTCAATAAAGGTGTTAAAACAAATAATAAGTAATACTCTTATGGCCTCAAGTATTGAAGGGAGTGGTTCTTTAGAGGAAACTGAGATTCAATGCTAATTTCCACTATTGAACCAGGCAGAGTTTCTGTTCTCCATGATCAGAAGCAGACACCCCACAACTCTGTCTTGGCGGGTGGAGAGGGAAGCAGTCTGCAGTCATTAATAGGTCTCACACCTTACGCTACTTTTTACCTAGTCACGACACAGTAACGTTTGCAACCAGACCATAATGGGCGTGTCAGTTTTTTTCAATTAACCAGGAGTCACCTTCTGGTCAGTTGTGGACTGGGAGCAGCCCAACAAAAACCCAGATGGCACAGGAAGTCGCACTCATAATCCAGCCTTCAGGCTTTACCTTCTGAGCCAGCGCTGAATCACCACCAGAGACCAGGGTTTCTATCTGGTTTAGGTGGGGCAGACAATGAATGTGAGCTCCCAGGATGGTCCAGTGGTTAGGAGGCTCTTAGAGAAGAGGGAGTCTTGCCTGAGAAATCTTCCTAAAGTGGGGCCTCAGCCCCCGACCTGGTGCCCTGACGGAGCTTCTGAGGCTGCAGCCCAGAGCCACATTCCTTCCACTGGGAGCATTCCTTTCACAACATTCCTCAGAGAAGTGGGCTGGCTTCTCAAGGCAATCAATTCCATCTTTTTTTAATGACTCTAATCACCAGAACATTCTCATAGTAAGCTGAAATAGGTCTCCCTATAACTTCTGCCTGCTGGAAATACACGGTCGAATCCCTTTTCCATAGGACAGCCTTTCAGTGTTTGAAAGCAACTAATATGCCTTTTATGTGTTCTCTTTTCCAAACTACATATGTCTGGTTTCTTCTTCCATTCTTTAGCAAACATGTTTTCCAGAAATGAATCACCCCTCTCAGAATTGCCTTTTAAAATAGCATACCTGCAGCTGAGCATATTGCAGACATTATGTGCTGTGATGGTCCTTGCCTATCAGCTTGGTTTGGGATCTCAAACTGTCCTTGAGTGAATTAGCTGTCTCTTGCAGTCACTCTACCTCTTTCGGCTGAACACTTCATTAGGGCCTGAGTGCAGGTGGCTCTGCCTTCATGGGTGGCATATGGGTAAATACAGGCTGCTAGTGCTACTCTCAGCCAGCAAGAGATAACTGGGGGCTTCAGAATGGATCAGAAATGTGGAGTGGGGGAAGAGTCTCTGTCTATGAAACAATTCAAAGTGGAAACTCAAACCGCCTCAAGGAAAAAAGGCTATTAAACCAGTAGCTACTGGAGCTACTAGAGAGACCTTACTCTAGTAGGACAACAGGAAACAGCAGGACAGTATCAGGTCCTCTCTGTTCCAACTTTCAGGAAGGTGCCTCCATGCTCCCCTGGGTGGAGACTGGGTGAAGCACCAGTGGCTCCCTCTGAGCTGCTGCCCTTTGGTGGTGGACTTCTGCAGCTGCTTCCAAGGAGGAAGGAATCTTTTGGAAGTCACACAGAAGACATTAGTGAGAAGACTCACCAGGAGCAATCTGGGTCCAGGGGGAGGAATGGAGGACAGCTTCCCAGGCAGCATAAGTCTGCAGGGAAGCTACAAAAAAGAATGGTGAAAGTAAGGCGAAAGGAGGGCTCCGTTTGTGCACAGCAAGGTACAGAACAAGGTCTGCTTCCAGAAGTCCTTCTACCATGCAAACCTGCACCCAGAAGAACTTCTATTCCTGACAGTGCTTTTCTTTCTAAAGTAAAGCCTCATTTGTTGGCCTTCACTCAAATAAAATAAAATGGAAAAGATCTGGCCAACCTCAGGCATACATTAGGTTACTCCCTTAAAGTGATTAGGGGGTACTTCTCTCCACACCCAGGCCATCCTTATGTCCTCACTGGAAACATGGGGCAGAGGGTGCTGCTGACCTAGACTTTTACCAGGAAGAAGGGACAGATACTAAGTATCTTTGAGAAGAATTGATAAGTTAGCACCAAATCCCATTTAACCCTCAGTCCATTCGTTTGGGAAAGCTGCCCAGTAAGACTGCCATGGGAACACCTGAGCGAGGGGCTTCCAAGTATCTGTAATAGAGAAGAATGGAATCTCAATCCTTAACTCCCCTGCTGCTATAATCATTCTTGGGAAAAATCCCAGCCATGGGTAACTCCAGAATGCCTTTTGAGGGGAAACTGTTCAGAGGGAATGTGTAACAGGGATTTCAGTGCTCTGACACCTTCCTTTTATGGTCCTGGGGATAAGACCCAGTAGAATAGGGCCGGATTTCTCAATTTCTTGCCAGAAAGAGGAAAATCACATTTCAAAAGGACCTAAAACAATTAAACCCCAGATCACACCTCCATCTAAGCAATAGGGCAGCCAAAGAATCCTAGATCAGGAGTGGGAGAGGGGGGAGAACAGCAATCTGGGAAGAGGTGGCCCTCTCTGTTTTTTCCTCAGTCTGTCCCCTGCCCCCACTTTCAAACATACCCACTTTCAAATGAAAAAGCCAGGACTGGGTCTGGGTTAGGTTAATGACAACAATCGCCAATTTGGCCAGAAGTTTCTATCTCTCTCTGGGTCCAAGTGGAAGAGGCAAAAAGCCTACAGACATTCAGGTGAGGCTCTCTGAGGAGGACCTTGTGCTGCGTGAGACAAAGGGCACTGGTGGTGGGCGGATTTCCTAATTCACTCTAACTCAACTCAGATGGTCTGAGCCCTTCCCAGAGTGAGTCACTCAGGCTTCCCCGAACAGGGTGAAGCTGAAAGCGAAGGGCTAGCTGAGCACTGAGCTATGTGGCTAACACATCAGCTGAGGCTCTGCTGCCTATGCACCTCCCTCCTCTCCTTGCAGGCCAATTTCACACCTTGAGACCACCCACTTAGACACTCAGGTGGGCTCTCTCTGCCCCCAGTCCAGAGAAAGCATGTTTGCGCCCAGGCCAGGTGAGCACAGCTCCTTCAGCCAAGCCATGTCTGGTGGCCGCTTACCTATCTGCATGACCCTCCCAAAGACAGACGTGTCGTCCACCGTGCTGCAGTTCCACCGCCTCTGCCGGAACTGGTACTGGCACTCCTTGATGCCCATCTTGGCTCCCTCCCCTATGTAGACCATGTGCTCCTGGTACAACTGGCACAGCTTTCTCTGGCCAGGGGAGAGCCCAGGAAGCTGGCTGCACAGAGGCTGGGCACCGATGATGAACATCTCAGGTCTCTGCACCGGGTTCATAGCTAATGACCTACAGCAGCAATTCAGAAAGGGGAAAGGAATGAGCACATGCCTGTGTGCAGCAGCAAGTCAGTCATTCAACACATTTATTGGGTGCTTTCTGTGAATAAGGCCCTGCACTAAGGGCTTGGAAAGAAAATTGGGGAAACCAAGGCACAGACACAGATGACATGTGAGATGCCAGATGCCTGAGACAGACTTGAGCTTCTGGACCCAGAGTGATCATAGAGGGGAAGAGCTCTCACAGCTGGGGAGAAGCTGGGTCTTCCACAGTATGGGGCAGGAGGAGCACACCTCAGAGAGGGCAGGCTATTCACCTGAGGCAGAGGGCAAGAAGAGCTAAACCTCAACAGGAGAGCACACGGCTTAATCAAGGAGTAGGAGTGACTCATTCACTTTGGCCCAAGTGCAGAATATGTGATGGAAAGCAATAAATTCCCTTAAACAGAACTTCCCCTTATGCCTTTAAAATTGAATCCAGTTACATACATCACAATATATTCTAAATGCTTTCACTCCGTATCTGACCCACACGTTCCCTAACCCATTCTGTATCAGTTCACGGTCTCTCCCTCTTGCTCATCATCCACCAGATACAATAAAGAGTTAAGTTAGATGAGAAGGCTGTAATGTCTGCCACCTGAGTGAAAATGTGATCAGAACACAAACCAGGTGGTGAGTGCCTGCCATTTCCATGTTGACTGTCAATGACAATAGTCTTAAAAACACAAAAAGAAACCCACACATGGTCCTGCAAATCCCTCATCTGGTCTTCGGACTTATAAAATAGGAACTAGCAAAAACAAAGACAAGAACAAAACAACAACAACAACAACAAAAAACCCAATATTCTTATCCATCTAATAGCAATAAAAGATACTTCTAATCACCTGTGGGGATGGAAGAAAAGCCAGGAAAAGGGGAATACAGGCAGAATCAGAGAAAAGACTAATGAACTAATCCTTTATCCTGTGGAACCTTTATCTCTGGGGGATTGAGAAAGGAAAAGGATCATCTCGGTTTTCTTGGGATAAAAGAGGCCCTTAGGATTCCTATGAATAAAGGGACGATCAGGACCTAAGGTGACCTTTTCCACATTTCAATTATCAAAGGAGGCATAGGTTGTAGAGTAGGACTTCAGCCCCTCTCACTCACCACCAGGAGCTGGCTTCGGCTGGAAGCTGAGCCCAGCTGGAGAGCAATGCAGCAATGAGCAGCAGCAGGCCCGGCATGGTCGGCCTCAGCCCTCCCCAGTGCCCTGGGAAGACCCCAGGGACTGCCGGCTTCCAAAACTGGGCTCCCTGAGAAAACAGAAATGGAGGGAGAATCAATGTGGAAACTCAACAGACAGGGGAGGATGGGGAGACAGGAGAGGGGAGACAAGAGAGTGAGCTCTGGGACAGATAGTGTCACTTTCTGCTCTCAGAGAAATTCAGCCTCTTTCCGACCTCCACATCTCCTCCTGCTCATCCTCTCACCAAAGACTGCCTCCATGTCTCTTAGCTCAAACTGTGAAGACCCTACTTGAGGCCTGATTCCAAAGGAAACGATGAACTGAGAAATGAGAAGAGAGAAATGAAACGTACTATGTCAAGAACAGAGATGCTCTATGCAGCATTTGGGAAGAGCTTTGGCTCTTGAAATGCACACCCACCCCTCCAGAGGGGAGAACCATCCCTTCACCATCCCCTTTACCTTTCACTCCAGTCACAGGTGGATCTCTCTGACCACCAGGCTCTCTTGTGGGGCTAAAAAACAACTGGTGAGTTGGCTTGATCCACAGCCAAACATTGAGTCTTCCCTCTCAATCTGTACCTTCACTCTAAACAAGTTTTCTAAATCCCAACCTTTGTTTACCAGGAAAAATAGGGAGAAGGCGAGGACTTTTCTCTTTCTCAAGGCAACTTCTCTGAGAAATGGAAAAGCCTACAGCGAACCAGGGCCTCTAAAGCTCTGGAGGCTGGGGAGTGCCTTCCTAAGTGGCCCTCATTGCCCCCCAGGCACTGGGGGCACCTCCAACTCATCTGCACCCCTTGCCTCAAACCTCTGTGCTGAGGACACATCTTCCAGAACCAACAACCCCTTCATTCTCTTGTAGCAGGAGAGCCTCCTGCACCTTTGCCTCCAGCTGTTTCTAACTACCGCCTATGCCTACCTCCCCAGCAAACACCTTTCCTGGAGCCCTCAGAAACAGAAAACCTTGCTGCTGGATCCTGGAGCAAGTCTGTAAAAACACGCCCCTCCTGCTCGCCCTCACCTTATCTCTCCCTCACCTTCCATCAAGGGTGTGGCCCTTCTGCACCAGGAGTCTTCTCCCCAAGACCTCTTACGACCTCCAACTTCACACATGTAAACACACACTCGCATGCGCTCACAACACCCCCACCCCATCTCACCACACAGTTCTGGGGCGCTGGGCTCTCAGGGAGGGGACAGCAGGTGCTTTGGGTCATCAGCCTGGCAGATATTTTTTGTCTTGGGGTCACCAAGAGAAGAATGTGGCCTAAGCAGGATCCAGGGAAGCTGGGCCACAGCCCGTCCCCACCCCCTTTTGGTTTTTCTTCAAGAGGTCTTAGCTGGGGCCAGGCCATCAACAGGCAGGTGTGTGGGGCCGGCAGAGGGCAGATCAAAGAAGAAACTTGCTCCTTCCCCTTTGTCATGCAGAGCTAGCTCGGAAATGATCTGGTCTCTAGCCCAGCGGACTAACAGCTCTCCACAGACCTCCCCTCTTCTAAAGGATGCCCCCTCCCCCTCTAACCTCTACCCACCATAAATCCTCCCTGTCCCTCAGGGCAGGAGGTCTGTGAGTGCACCGAGTGGAACTGAGAGAGATGGAACAGAGATAGGGCTGGCACCAGAAGCTAATGGTTTTATGGAGGGGAGGGGGCCAGGTCCAAAGTAGGGAAGAGACAGGAAAAGCTTCAAAGAGTTCCCATGTCCAAACATCCTCAGCTCCACCTACCAGTCCTTCTTGGGGACTGAGTCAGACCTGCCTCTACTCCTGGTGGCCCTCCTCTCTCCCACCAGCAGGGCCATCCCTACCACCACACTGCCTGCAAACCCCCTACTCCCACCAACACACATCCCCACACATTTCCATGCCAGGTAGCTGGTGACACTTCTTATCCCCACGGATAATCCCCCACACCAGAGTCTCACTTCTGTCATACCCTTTCATCAGGCCCCTATGAAATCTCTGGCTCTGCAAGTCCTAGATGTGATGGAGGCCACACTGAGGGCCACTATTTCTGAGCCAAAGACAGGAGTCAGTGCCAGCTAACCGTCATTGTGGCTTTGATACCCCATTGCCAAGCTGACAAGCTATCTCAGACCCAACTTCCCAAGAGCTGCTAGTCCTGCCCCACCACTTTATACACTGAGACAGGATGGATCCCTGCAGCCGTTCCCACCACCCTGTGCTCTCTGTCCAACTCTCAGTTCATTAAAAAAGATATTTTTAAAACTTAAAGAAGAAAAACAAAGATGGTAGCATGTGTGGTGGCTTCATTCTCTGCCTTTCAGATGTGAGCCAGCCCTCTGAGCAAGTCACAGAACTGCTGCCCTCATTTACATTCTTTGGTTTCCTCATGCGGGGCTGGGAGGAGAAAGGTAATGTCGGTGACTGGTTTTAGTGTGGGCAGAATGGAAACTTCTTGCCTCAGCCAGACTGGGAGAGTACTGATGGTTTGGTCTTAATGAGTAGGACTCATCTGAAGCCCTGTTCGTGTGTCGCTGATGAATTTTACAGCAGGACTCAACCAGGGCAGACTGTTCTTTGTGGAGGAAGAATGATCTAATAATTATCCAAAAGACAGGGAGTGAGATTTCTTTCTGCTGCCTTAGTAATGACTAGAGATTTCCCGCCCCTCCAAACTAAATGGTTTCCTTTTCCTGTAACGGCTGTCATTTCAGACACACCAAACACAGTCAAGGTTGAGCAAATCCAGGGTCTCTCTTTTTTGGTAGTGACTGGGAGGTTGCAGGGAGGCGGAGATGCAGCATTCTCCATCGGGACCCTCCAGAGGGCCAGAAGGGGCTGGTCAGACACATCTGCTCTGCTTCTATATTCAGTTATCCATTCATTCAATAAATTCACTAATTCAATATGCATTAGGGGCCTCGTACATCCCAGTTACTGTTCTAAGTGCCAGGAATACATCAATGAGCAAATAAACATACAATTGACCCTTGAACAAGGCAGAGTGTAGGGATGCTGACCCCCCCATCCAGTTAAAAATTTTTGACTACTAATAGCCTACTGTTAACCAGAAGTGTTAACAAGAACATAATTAACACAAATTTTATATGTCACATGTATTATATATACTGTATTCTTATAATAAAATAAAGAAAAGAAAATGTTATTAAAATCATAAGGAGCCCTGGCTGGTGTGGTTCAGTTGGTTGGGTGTCATACTGCAAAGCAAGAGGTCACTGGTTCAATTCCTGGTAAGGGCATGTGCCTGGGTTGTGGGCCTGGTCCCTGGTTGGGGAGCATGCAGGAGTCGACCAATTGATGTTCCTTTCTCACATTGATGTTTCTCTCCCTCTCTTTCTCCCTCCCTTCCCCTCTATCTAAATGAATAAACAAAATCTTAAAAATTTTTTAAACCATATGAAAGAAAAAAATGCATTTACAGTATTTACTGAAAAAAAATCTGTGTATAGGTGAACCTGTGCAGTTCAAACCCATATTGTTCAGGGTCAACTGTATATAATATTATGAGAACACTGTGAGAAAAAATCAAGCAGGGACAAGAATCAAGAATAAGGACTGCTAAGCCAGTCAGAGAAAGACAAGTACCATATGATTTCACTCATATGTGGAATCTAATGAACAAAATGAACTAGCAAACAAAATAGAAATAGACTCATGGATGCAGAGAACAGACTGACAGCTGTCAGAGGGGAGGGGCAATTGGGTGGCTGGGTGAAAAGGTGAAGGGATTAAGCAAAAAACAAACAAACTCACAGACACAGACAAGAGTATGGTGATTACAGAGAAAAAGGGAAATGGGGGGAGATAAAAAAGGGTAAAAGGGGGACAAATGGTGATCAGGCCAAAGAGGCCTGACTTTGGGTGGTGAGCCTACAAATACAATATTCAGATGATGTGTTATAGAACTGTACACCTGAAACCTATATACTTTTATTAACCAGTGTCACTCCAATAAAAAGGAAAGAATAAGGGGTAAAAAGCTACATTACTTAGGGTCCTTGGGGAAAGGCACACTCTAAACTATCTGCTCACCCTACCTTTCTCCAAACCACTATGCAGGTGGAAGGTATAACCCTGCTGTACCTCCTGAGCCCTCTGTGGCATGTCCAAGGTCCTTACTGAGACTGCTCCACCCTGCTTCACCATCACAACCAAAGGGGTGCCTATTTGAAAACAGGAACTCCAGGTTCTCTTTCTTTTTCTGGTTGTATTCAGTTACCAATTTTCATTTCCTTAGGGGGCTACAACTGACCAGCCCAGACATAGGAGAACAAAAAGAGAGACTTGGACAGGTGGAGCTGAGACCCCAGCAAATCTGTCCATAAGGAGATAGCTCTGTGCTTTCCACACATATTCAGACTTTGCCTGGAATGAAAACCTCAACCCGCCGAAAAAGGTAATTGGCTGCTCTGCTCCCAAAACCCATTACTGGGAGCTTCTGAGTCACACAGAAAATGGTGTCCCATCCTACACCTGTCTCATGCAAAGGCAGGAACCCTCACACCTGGAAACCCACCAAGAAATAACCGAGATCCTCAATGGCAGCTTTTTCCAGGTTGCCACTGGCTAATTCTTACTGGGTGACCCAGTGAAGAGCTACTGAATGTGTAACTTAAATATGCATTTGCAATTTTGTTAGCATCTCTGGGAGAGCAAAGCAGATAATACTAGCATCTTTGAAAAGGGAATGCTCACCTTTGTGAACTCCTGGCTGCCCTGCCATCAAGTACTGGCCTGCTGTTAAGTGATTTTGGGGTGGGGGGTGCAGGTCGAGGAGGAGCAGGAATGACAGCTCTTTCCTTAGTCACTTCATTTCCACCACCATAAAGAGTACAGAAAGACCTTTTGTCGATCTTGACTAAGAGCTTCTCAAGTGTACAAGTTCATTCATTTCCTTCCCTATTTCCAAGTAAGTGCTCACCAGAAGTGCTTCCATCTCAGCACCAGAACAGTTCTTTGTTCTTTGTAGAGCAAAGAACAGTTCTTTGCTCTAACCAGGTAGCTCCAACACATTTTCCTAAAATAAAAATGGTGCATAATATTCCCATTGAAAATGTACAGTGGTTCCCAGTGTAGGTATTC